TTTCCACAGTGATAGTATTTTAAATTCTTTTTGCTTCTAGACTTCGATCTACTATGTTTGTGACTACTACTTTGGCCACGTTCTGTTGATCTCCTTTCATCGTTGTCAACGCTTCTGCTTGTTGCAGATTTACTTATCTGTCTTCCTTGTTCTTGCGCCGATTTTCTTCTTGTAGAACAACAGCTGCAATATCATCGAAGACTAGACTGGTGACATTACTGTTTGTCAAGTTGATGATGAGTTGATCATACGAATCCGATAGACTTTGAAGTAGAAGTTCAGCACATTCTTGTTCTCCTATTTTTGCAGCTTAATGATGTAAGCTGAGAAAATAAAGTGTTCAGTGTATTTAAGTGCTCCGTCACTGAAGTAGACTCTGGCATACGTAGAGTGTATAATTTTCTCTTAAGGAAAATTTTATTGTGCAACGATGTGGCCTCATACAATTTGGTGAGATGATCTCATATCTCCTTAGCTGTCTTCTTCTCCTCTATGCTTGACAATACTTCATCTGCTAATGCTAGATGAAAGTTTGTCATAGCATTCCCGTCCATTTCGATCCATTTATTGTCATCTGTGAAATCCACCAGCCTTTCACTAATAGCTACTAGACAATCGTGTTTCCTCAGGATGGCCTTCATCTTCAATTTCCACAATGAGAAATTTCTCCTATTGAATTTTTCAATATCAAATTTCGTTGCAATAGCTTCTATTACGGATAACTCTCACTATTTCACTAGCGTGAATAGTTCTCTGGAACCTTCAAAGAATGGGTAATACCTTCTTACTTTCTTATGTTAGATGATCTACCTTTTGGTGGCAACCACAAAGACAATAAGTAGATATTACACACTATAATCTGGCTCGGATACCAATTGTTGCGGAAGACGGCTATCGGATAGAGCAAAATCGCAACTGATAATTTGAGAAAATAAAAATAAAGATAAAGAAGACATAAAATTTACGTGGAAAACCCCTAAATAATATAGGGTAAAAATCACGGGCTACGGTAGAAGAATTTCACTATGAGAAAATAAGAATTACAACTTTTCTCGATCTACCAAGGAGAAAACAATGATAATTCTCGCTTGATAAAAAGGAGAAAACAACTCTAAAAAAAACTCTCTAAATTCTTTAGTATTTGGAGAAAGTTAGAATGATTTGGTATGGTTTTGAAGGTAAATGAGCTAGGGTATTTATAGTTGAAACTTAAGAACTAATTTGTAAATACCCTAAATTACAATGAATAAAATTATGATTTTTCCATTTTTCAAATTCAACTAATTTAGTTGCAATTTTTGACAATTGCACCGAAAGCATTCGGTGCATTAAAGCACCGATTTGTTTTCTTTACTTTTCAACAGTGGTCTCTCGAATGCGTGGAGTTCATTTTTGCCATGTCTTAATTGGTCTGTTGAAAACGGTACGAAAGTCAGATTCTGGGATGATATTTAAATCCCCTCCATAAGTATTTTCCGTCCACATGCAATTGACTCTGGAATTATTGATGATGAGGTTCAATTAGCCTCCTTAACTCATCCGAATGGTTCTTGGAATGAACAGGCTCTCTCCTCATTGGTCACTTCATTTGCAGTTAGCCATATTCTGAGCAATAAACTTTTTGACAACAATGACATTGATGATATCTTTGCTTGGCGCTGGTCAAATAACCACAATTTTAACCACAAATCTGCTTATTCTAATATATGCGATGAGAATTGGAGAGAGGTGAATACTGTTTGGAATTTTATTTGGTCTCTCTCTGTTCCTTAACGCCTGAGAGTTTTTCTTTGGTTATGTGTTCATCGGAAAATAATGACAAATTCTGAACGTGTTCGACATTGTCTCTCAAATGATGCCTTTTGTCCCTTGTGTGGTGCCGCACAAGAAATCATCATCCTTGTGTTGCGAGATTGTCTGCGTGTGAGCACTATGTGACAATCAATCTTGCCTTCATCGATGCTTCCCAACTTCTTCCATAATGATTTCGATTCTTGGGCTCTAACCAACCTGAAGAATACTTCTCTGATGTAAGGCTTTGATTCATCATGGTCTACATTTTTCGCGTCTCTTATCTGGCAAATCTGGAAATGTTGTAATGACATGCTTTTCAAAGGAGTTTCTTAGCCTTTAGATACTATCCTAGAATGTGCACAGTTGGGCAAGTACTCTGGCCTGGGTGGAATAAATTGCCTTTGGGTTGGGTGTGCCTTAACTCGGATGGTGGTATAAAAACGTCTAGTGGCCTTGGATCCTCGAGTGGTGTCATTAGGGAAGCTGATTGGTACTTGGTTGTGTGGTTTCAGTATTGCAAAATTCGATATTACAAGCTTAGCTCTGGGTATCTATGATGGATTACGTATCACATGGAGCCATGATATTGAGTGCCTGGAAATTCAAACTGACAGCCTGCGAACGGTCAAATTGCTCGAAGACAAAATGGCAAGTAATAGTCCAATCTCGCTAGTTCGTTCAATCGTTGCACTACGTCTTCGTGCATGGGAAACTCAATTACGTTGAATTCCTCGATCAGCCAACAGAGTTGCTGATAAACGCACCAAAATGGCGCGGTCCACTGTGTCCAGGATAACTCTCCATGCAACACCAATTTAAAACACCTTTTGACAAACGATGTGAGAGGAGCCACCTCCTCAATGCAGCTTTCAACTTAGATTAGCCTATTCCTGGCTTTCTTTCAATTCAATATATATATTACTACGTATTCATCCTATGGATAAACGAACTTCTTGTCGAAATTGATCCATGAACATCAATTCTCTGCCCAATAAAGGTTTGAAATTTGCTTTGACAGACACCAAAAAATGAAAAATTGGAAATTTAATCCAATTTGAAACGGAGAAAGAGAAAGGGGAAATTTAAAACAACGGCCACTAAAATATAGCCGTTGGAACATCGGAGCATAGATCTAAAATATAGCCGTTGGAATATCGGAGCTTAAGAGATTCAAAGGTTAGTGCACTTTAAGTGCTATCTGTCAGCATTCCAACTCAACCTGCTAAGATCTCAGATTTTATTTCCATTTTTCATCTTCATTTTCTTTCCAATCCAAACACCTAATTCCAAAGATATAGCAAGCACAGCTGCAGAATTCAAGGTATGGAAAACACCCATTTCATCCGTTCATAATTTTTTTGTTTGTAAAGAATTTAGTTAATTAGAATCTGACCCTTTTTGGTTTTCTTGATTTTGGGAAAACCCATTTCATCAGTACATTTATATTTTAAAAGAATTTAGTAAATGAGAAGCTGATCCTTTTTTGTTCTGTTGATTTTGAAGAAACCCAAGTCATCAAATTTTGAAACTTGTTTTTGTATGATGCTAACTATCAATATCTAGAGCTTTTAGTTAAATAGTTAATTAATCGAGAAGTCTTTCATCTATGCAGTAAGTATGGGATTTTGGGATCATTTTCATGAGGCTAATCTCATGTATTTATCTGATTAGTTTTATTGAGAATTTCAGAGAGCAAAGATGAATGATCTGATGACCAAATCGTTTATGAGCTACGTAGACCTCAAGAAAGAGGCAATGAAGGATCTCGAAGCTGGACCTGACAATGATCTCGAAATGTCTTCCAACGCAAACACCATGGACCAAAACCTTGGCCTATTCCTTGAAGAAGCAGAGAAAGTGAAGCAAGAAATGGCAGTTATCCGTGAACTGTTAGGCAAGCTCCAAGAATCCAACGAAGAGAGCAAATCGCTTCACAAACAGGAGTCTTTAAAGGCCTTGCGGAACAAAATCAACGACGATATCGTCACCGTGCAAAAGAAAGCCAGGACTATCAAGGCACAACTTGAAGAAATGGACCGTGCCAATTCATCGAACAAGCGCCTCTTGGGTTGCAAAGAAGGCGCGTTAGCTTACAGAACTAGGATTGCGGTAACCAATGGGTTGCGCAATAAGTTGAAAGAACTGATGATGGATTTCCAAGGTTTGAGGCAGAAGATGATGACTGAGTATAAGGAAACAGTTGGGAGAAGGTATTTTACCGTGACCTGTGAAAACCCGGATGAGGAAATCATCGAGAAGATAATTTCCGATGGCAATGGCGGCGAGGGGTTCTTAACACGAGCGATACAAGAGCATGGTCAAGGGAAAGTGTTGGAGACTGTGGTCGAGATTCAGGACAGGCACGATGCGGCCAAAGAGATTGAGAAGAGTTTGCTGGAACTGCACCAGGTGTTTTTGGATATGGCAGTGATGGTTGAGGCCCAAGGGGAACAAATGGACGACATTGAGCATCATGTGATTAATGGTAGTCATTATGTGAAGGATGGTTCCAAAGAGCTCAACACTGCAAAACAGTATCAAAGGAGCAGCAGGAAGTGTATGTGCGTTGGGATAATTCTTTTGTTGCTGATTCTTTTTGTGGTTGTCGTCCCAATTACTACTAGCTTTAGCAGTTCTTGTTTTGGATGTTTTTACAAAGGAGTTAATGTCCAGTTATTCCTTCATTCCTTGTGCTTTATTTTACTTTGAGAAAAGATTTTTTTTTACATGGAAGATCATACTTAGCAAAGTAAATAAATAAATGAATTGGAAAAATACCAGTTTTCATTTCAGATTCCGTTGGAGTCACTTCCAATCCATAAAGTGCCAGCATCCCATTGTTTAATTAGCTTTAATTGACCCAATTCTGCCGGAGCCAAGTTTCAAGATAACAAGTTCAAGAAAGTAAAGGACGAATATCTCATATCTGAAACATAAAACAATTCTCTTTTGTTTCGATAAGTCCTGATAAGGAAGATGGATTATGCTATTCATTATTTCATGCAGGCCTTTTGATTAATAATTCACTGTGTAATTAAAAAATTGTTTATTTTGTTTCGGTATGTACTATCAGCTATGGTATAAATCAAAAGACAATATGCTAAAACTATGGACTAATTCAATGGCTTCAACCTATAAAAGGCCATTCTTTTATGCAAAGTTTCTCATACCTACTGAAGAAATACAAACCCACCATATATACTAAAATGAAAACCCTCCAGATCATCCTAACCATTTTCATCTTGACTTTGGCTTCGTCTTTGGCCTTTGCCTCTGATCCTAGCTCTCTTCAGGACTTCTGTGTAGCTGACCCCAAGGGCTCTGGTATGTTCTCTCTATGTTCAACACATTTGCTGAACACATATCGATATTCGACACTCACACTTGAGTTAACACGTAAGTTTCATGCTTTCATGCAGTTTCTGTCGATGGGAGTGTCTGCAAAGGCGCAAAACTTGCCAAAGCAGATGACTTCTTCTTTTCAGGGCTCCATATCCGCAAAAACACATCGAATTCTGTTGGATCAGCTGTGACACCAGTTAACATTGCACAAATACCAGGACTTCACACATTAGGGATATCTATGGCTCGAATCGACTATGCACCTAACGGTGGCCTCAACCCTCCTCACACTCACCCTCGTGCCACAGAGATTCTAGTGGTTATCGAAGGCACACTCCATGTCGGTTTCATTACATCGAACCCGGATAACCGTCTGATAACTAAAGTCCTATGCCCTGGAGATGTCTTTGTATTCCCCGAGGGTCTCATTCACTTCCAGTACAATATTGGGAACACCTATGCCGTGGCCTTTGCTGGTCTTAACAGCCAAAACCCAGGGGTGATCACCATTGCTAATGCAGTCTTCAGCTCAAAGCCTTCCATTAGTGCTGATACTCTTGCCAAGGCTTTTAATCTGGACGCCAAAATGGTTAATGATATTCGATCCAGTTTCTGATAGGACAGCAATCGGAGAAATGCCTGAGTGATGGATGGTTGAAGTTGGAGATTTATAGTGACATTAATTTTTAAGAAATGTGAAAAATAAAAGAGGTTCTTACTTTGTAGGGGACCTTAGCTTATGTATACTTGTTTCTTTTGATTTTATTAAAATGTGTTTCCAGTTTGAACCTACAATCTCGACGCCACCGGCGGAGCCAGCCTATTATTTGACACCCTAAACATTTTTGAAAAATAATTTTTTTTTATAAATTTAATATAGAAATATCTAAAAATAAAATATAATTAATATATTTAAAAAAAATTGATACCTTTAAACATAAATTGACACCCATTATTTATTTTCATTCACCTAAAGAAATTCTTTATACAATTTCTAATTTTGACACCCAAAATAAAATTTCTCTAAATTTGACACTCCAAATTTTTTTTCTAGCTCCGCCCTTGCTCGACGCATTTTAAGTCCTCAAAATCTCGCGAATAACGTGTCTCTTCAAATTTTGAGTTCGAGCACGACATCTATAAGGTGTTTGAATATTCATTGTCAAATGATTGAGAGTGTTTCGAATATATACTATCTTATAATCACTCAAGATTAATAAAAAAAACCCTTTTTAAAATCTTTATAATTCTTATAATTTAAGTTCTTGAATTATTTAAATTATCGTAAATTATGTAAAATTTACACATTAGTGATTTGTTTTATTTTAAATCTAATACGTTTGCTTATTTTTGTTGTTTTGACGTTTTAATAAAAATGGTTATTTAGTCTGATCGTTCCAAATTAGTCAAAGTAAATTATTGAGAAATCAGGGACAATAAATAAATATTATTTTGTACTTATTTTTAAAGTTTAGTGATAATTTTTTTTTATATTTATATATAATCAACAGATTATTTAAATATTTTACTCTTTATTATAAATTTATAAAAAATAAATAAATACGGCGTCGATTAAACTATTTGTTGTAACGTAGATGGGGATGCAATGTATGCAATTTTTTTTTTCTTGATACAACATACAATATATTGTTAACTTGATAATACGTAGACACAATCCATGTCTCACAAAGGCTAATTTCATTACAAAATCATCCTTATTGTTTAAAATCATATTATTTTTTAATTAGTTAAATGACATAAGTTGTAAAAGAAAATATTATTCATTTTAGAGAATTTAGGTTACATGGTGTATTTTATAAAAAAAAATTAAAAAAATCTAAATAAATATCCTCGATCAGGATAAACATGCCCTTGATGCTGACTACTGTAGCCAAGGAACGTGCATGACTAGACCGAAAATCCAATTTATGAGCGTGAGAGACACTCTATGCAAGACCCTCGTGGGCAGCCGATTGATTAAATGGACTGCAGTCACCAACTCATATGACCAATATTTAAATGGTAGAAATGCTTGGGACAACAGGGTGAGAGCCATTTCTACAAGATGTCGATGTTTTCTCTCGATAATACCATTATGTTCTGACGTATGAGGACACGTCAGCCTTTGATGTATACCAGCCGCTTGAAGCACACTCGTAAGCTTGCGATACTCACATCCCTGGTCGCTATAAACTTCTTTAATCTCAGCACCAAACTGAGTTTGCACTTAACACTGAAATAACGAAAAAGCATGAATCGCGTGAGCCTTATCTTTAAACAAATACAACAAATGTGATGAGTATAGGCATTAACGAACGATACACAATACTGAAAACCATTCGACACCATATGAGCAGGCACTCATAAATTTATAAACACCATTTAAAATGGTGCATCATACTAAATTTGAGAAAGAGCAAAAAGTAATTTATGACTTTTCCCTAATTGACAAGCATCACAAACTGTTTTATTAAATTCTTTGGAAACAACAACATTACATTCACGACATACAAGAAGTAAAGATTCATGAGAATGATGGCGTGGCCTGCCACAAGCCATAAGCAAAACTAGAAGTACTAGTCACATTTGCCTCAGCTTTAATAACACCATTATTCAACAAGCTGGTGTCAAACTCATAGAGACCCCCTGCCTGCTTTCCTTCCAGCAAAACTGCTTTGTTACTTCATCACGAACTAAGTATCGATGTGCATGAAACTCAATGAGGACTTGGATGTCTCTAGCAAGCTTCGAAACTGAAACCAAGTTTTTAGAAATATGAGGCACATGCAATAAATTTCTAAGATTTAACGTACGAGAGGATGTAACTAAGGCAGAGTGACAAATCCTAGCAATATGTAATTTTTTACCATTACCAATAACAACCTTACAAGCTCCGGTGTAATCAACACTATCTAGCACTTCAGCACCATCCGAGGTCATTTGATGAGTAAACAAGAAAATGGAAAATAACTGGAACAAAAACTTTCATTCATCTCAACGTATCACTCTCAATAATTGAGAGATGTGTTTATACAATTGGCTAACACAAATCAAGAAGATTAAAAGCTCAAAAATACCTCAACTAACCCTTAACATCCTAACAACATTTAACAGCCTAACAACACGTGGAGGATTAGTTAAAACTAACTCATCTCTAGCTCATGCACCAACATTCCCCTTACTTTACTACTGGCTTTCCTCAAGTTCTTTCACGGCACGTGAAAGATTAGTTAAACCAACCCATCTCCAGCTCATGCACCAATATTCCCTCTACTTTGCTACTGGTTTTCCTTAAGCTATTTAAAACACATGCAAGATATGCAGAAACAAACATCAACATTCCCCTTACAGCAGACTCTTCTATTACTTTCACCCTTCACTCGTCATACTCCTCAATTGTTGAAGCCACATATTTGCCTTGGATATGTGAGACAAGTAAACGCTCCTATGTTTAAGAAACGCTGGAGCAGATAGCGGTTTAGTTAGGACATCAACAACTTGTTCAAAAGCAGGTACCTCCTTAACTGATAGCTTGCCAGCAGCGACCATTTCCCTAATAAAGAACATATCAAGTTCAACATGTTTGAACTTGGAATACAATATCGGATTCGCACAGACAACAACATCACTGGAATTGTCGCACCACAAGATAGGTTTCCCATGAATGGGCACCCGCATCTCACTCAGCAGTGATTCAAGCCATACCACCTCCGCCGCAGCACAAGAAACACTTCGATACTCAGCCTCTGTCGTAGAACGAGCAACGACCTGTTGTTTCCGATAGCTCCAGGAAATCATAGTGAAGTCAATAGAGTCTAAGGACAAAAGCGTAAGTGAGAATAGCCAAAATGAAGAGCATTTTCTTAAATACAAAGCTCAAATACGACAGTTACAGAGCGATAATGACATTCAGAACAAAGATTTGGAAGCCATGAAAGATAGTTTTCAAAGAATCAGTCAAATCTTCTAAAGTATTTTAGGGATTACCCCGGAAGAGTGGGTAAAAGAGGCCTCTAAATTGAAAGATGATGTTGAGCGATGGAAAAAGAATTGTAAAATGCATGAAGGACGGGCTAAGAAGTACTCTCATGATCTGCAGATTGCAGAAGGTGAACGTAGGGCAGCTTTACAAGATTTGGGGCTTTGGAAAAAGAAGAATGAATTATGGACAACAACTTTCATCGACTCAGAAACTAAGCTATAAGCTAGTAAAGTTGAAAATAAAACATTGACAGAGCTGATAGTTGACTGTAGGAACCTTGCATGAGAACTTTATAACCGTGCCGAGTCTTTTGAGAAAGAAAATTGCCAATATCACCTACAACTTCAAGTGTTGAAATGTAAGTTGGGGAAACAAGACGACGCGATGAATGAGGCGATTACTCAAGCAAGCAATGTGGCCCATAAGTTGGTCGACTTAACTGCCTTTGCAAGGGATTCGAAGCAGATTGATGGCTCAACACCAGATCATGCCTGGAAGATAACCTGGCTCCTGAATGAGATAGAAAAATTAGGAGCCAAAGCTATTTATTATTTGTAGTTTGGCTATTTGATGTACTGAAACCATTTGTGATCAATGAAAATCATTTTAGGATGGTTACTCTGGATTGACACCTCTCTTTTGCATGCATTGTATTTATTTTGATTTAAATTTTATACATTTATAATATAAAAAATCATCAGATTAATTTTTGAAAGGTTGCATGACAGTAATACCAAGATCACCCATTTACATTTCTCCTATACTCTCGATGGATAAGAGGTTAAAAGCATTAGAGCAGTCTCAAGGAGAGTTACGGGATCAAATGCAAGATCAGATGGTCGCGCTGCAACAGATGATGAAAGGTCAAACATTAGTCTCTCAAGAAGAAGGGTTGGGTCAGATGACTAGAGTATTGGCTACATTTGATGTTAACCAAGAAAAGGTGTCTACTGAAGGACATCAACAAATGGGCATATCAAGGTTGGTTTACCACTCTAGGGCATCCTATTTGGATAAGAAGAGAGATCTCGCGGTCACCAAGCATGTCAAAGGAAGAATTAAGCAGTTAGAAGGGTCGATTGAGGTAATAAAAGCTGGTGAGACATCCCGTGCGAACTTAGACGCGAGAGAATTAAGCTTAGTCCCCACCTTGGTCATTCCTCATGAGTTTAGGGTACCTGAGTTTGAAAAGTATAATGGTACCAGTTGCCCTTTAATCCATTTGAAGATGTTCTGTAGAAAGATTAAGGGGTACTTGAATGACGATGATTTACTGATTCATTGCTTCCACGATAGTCTTACTGGACCAGCAATGGTATGGTATAACCGCTTGATCAGAGAGCAAATTAAGTCATGGATTGATTTGGCCAATGCTTTCTTGGATTAATATAAATATGTCAAAGACATGGCTCCAAATTGTCAAGATCTCCAGAAATTGAAAATGAAAGCTACTGAAGGCTTTAGAGAATACGCACTGAGATGGAAAAGGATGGCAGCTCAAGTACAGCCTCTGATGCTAAAAAATGAAATGTCACGTATGTTTCATAGCACCATTCCAGATCCTTTCTTTGAGTTGTTGCTTGCAGATTGAACGAATGATTTTGAAAATCTTGTGTCAAGTGGAGAACAAATAG